AAAATTAACGCTGGTTAGAAAATTAGAAACAAAGCTCTCCAAAAACGATTTTGCCTTAAACAAACAAAATGTAATTAACCACACCTAACGACAAAACCTCGTTTATCTCAACCTCTATGAATATTAGAACTAATAAGGCTTGTTTCATTTCAATTACGATGTGATTATACTATATTATGCCCCCGGGTTTGTTTACCTTCGAGCTCTACTATTAGTAGATATTCGTGATATTCTCTTCGCCCAAGTTTTTCTAAGGATCCAACAATATAGCAGCTGATTAAATAGACAAGACATTTGACGGGCTCATAAGTATAACGGGCCATAGATGGAGATCATAGGTCGGTGTACTACTATATCTATACTTCTATAACAATATATAAAGCCGAAGAGTTTGTTTATTTGTTTGAACGCGCTAATCTCAGGAACTACGGGTTCGAATTGAAAAAATATTTTTGTGTTGGTTGGAACATTTATCGAGGAGGGCTATAGGTTATAAAAGGAAAAAGACTTAAGAAGCGAAGGTATAGCGTGAAAAGTGAACAAAACGGGGGGAAATTTTTCATCTCTGTAAGTTTTAGTTGCGTACGCTTCGAAAGCGATATAAAAAACGTCCCCGACGATATATGTCTATCTTTTAAGATTAGGTTGCAAGAACGACGGGAAGAGACGCAAACAACTCGGTGGCTAACAGCTTAAGTTTATAAAGATGACGGGGTTTGCAAAACCTAATTTGGATGCCCAAAATAACGATTCTCGAGGTTGAAGTCGTTGGCAAAGCTAGTGTACTATAAAATAACAGCCAGAAGTTAAATAGGTCGTTAGGCGTGGCTGGGGGTATATTACCTTACGTTGTCTTGTCTTGTCTATCACAAAAGTGCGCCTTTGTTAATAGATCACGTTTTATTTTTTAATTTCTTTAAAAAACAAACAGATATTTTGACTAAATGAAACGTACATATATAATCTGAAAACCAGCGCTGCTGAGTGTGACAAGCATTCAGCAGCATAGTAGACTGGTACCGATTGCCATCTCTTATATATTTATTACTATATTATTATTCTTTTTATGTACATTTATTATAATTTGAAATATATTTTATGGATAAATTTGATGTAAGTCAAGTTACTCATGCAAAACTTAAAATTTAGCGTTTTTATTGGATATAAAGTTATTGCTTATGAAATTCAGTTATATTAATACGTAAATCGATGGAAATAGAACCCACAACCCGATACTGTTGAGCACATTTGCGTAAGATAATAATTAATTAAAATTAACCTAATAATAATAATACCCCAAAAGGCGTTACGTGCAGACAGTATCACTAACAGGCTCAAAACCAAGAAATTCATTAAACATTATTTTTTGCTGATAATACGACATCGGATATTACGGAGTTAACTAAAAGTTGATATAGGCATAACAGGGTACGAACAATCAGTAACAATATATACAATTTAAAAGTCATAATGAATCACTAAACTAAGATAATTTTTAAAAAATAAGGTTCGCGCAGTAGACCTCACGCTCTAAAACACGCGAGATTTCATAAATAAGCGAAGAACAAATTTGGTCAGACAGGGTAAATTATTTATTGTTCAAGCTGGATAATTTAATTGTTCTACCAGACACATATTTCAAGCGCCCCGCTTGGTAAACCCTCGTGCCTTAAGAGTTAAGCATTGCGCCGAGTTTAATAAGTCATAATAAGTAATATAACTTAAAAATCCTTAGTGAACATTAATCGCAATTAATAAATAATATAACCAGATTTTAAATAAAACACTAACGGTTTAAAACGCGATATATTAGTTAAACTTATTTGAAAATGATGTCTCACTTCGTGCCCGACGCTTCGTGCTTAGCAGCCAGCCGTGGTCACGCCGAGTTACAAAATCATTTTCAAATAAGTTTAACTAATATATCGCGTTTTAAACCGTTCAAGTGTTTTATTTAAATGTGTACTGTTAGCGTAAACTAGAGACAGTGTTTAACCAGATTTTATTTAAAAAAAAATCATCAACTCGTAAGTTATTCTAATTTTAAATGAAGGCAAAGTTCCATTCTATTTGTGGAACGGAAATCGGAAGTAGGATGCACTAAGTTCGTTTGCACCAGTTCGCTGTTAACACCGGAAATTCGATTTTCAATTCTCAGTTAATCACTTTAGCTTGTATTCTCTCACAGAACTGGATCTTTTACATAAAGCGAATCGTAATGAAAGTTTTGCAAAAGGCAGATTCGTATTTGTGGAGCACAAGTCTCGTAAGGTACTTTTTTTTTATCGTAAAGCGTATAATCTAGAACTAAATATCGCAACACATAAAGATTATTTTTGAGTTCTAATGCTTTGAGCATTGATGCACTAAAATTTTAGAGAAGATTTTAATTTAATTAATGTACGAGAACATTAAATAAAACGACATTTATAAAGAGTTCTAATTATGAAGACTTCAACAATATGCGATTTAAACAATTAAGAATATCATTGATCCTCGGTCTTGTATATATCAAAAACGCTCAGACGAATACCTAAAACTTATTTTAACATTGGAGAATAGACTTTTAAAAATTATCATAAGATTCATAAAAAACGTTTTTATAAAGGTAGAGCACATACCTCTTCATTAAAAAAACAGTACCGTACGAGACTAGTGACTAGATTCGCTTTTATGCAAAAGAACCAGTTCTGTGAGACCTACAATAAAATATCTATATAAAATCGTTTTTGGCATATATTGTTTAATATTTAAATCTCAGATTTTTTTATTGTTTTCAATATGTTTTGTAACATTTAACTTAACTACACTGAAGGTATGTTTAAAAACCATTGTAAATACGTTATTTAATATATTATATTTTATATACGATCAGTAAATATATTAAAGAGAATTAAATAAAGCTTTAGTATATATAGAAGACTAGGTGTGTCCGCGACTTCGTCTGCGTAGTATAGTTATTTTGGGCATCCATAATTGTTTTTGCCAGCTTCTAGATCTTTATAAATTTAAGATGCCCACGACATCGGTCGCGTCCCGTCGCTCAAGACCCGTCCTACGGGTCCCGTCGTTCTTGTAACTTAATCTTAACAGATATACATATAGTGCTTTGGACAATTTTTTAGATCATTTAAAGAGAAATCATTTTTTTCATAGATATTTTTTGGGTGTCATGAACCGTTTGCGCAGCGTACGCATCTGAAATCCACAGAGATGAAAAATTCCCCAATTCCCGCTGTATCTTTGCTTCTATTAGTCAGAGCGCGATGTTTTATAGCCTTCAGCCTTCCTTGATAAATGCGAACTAGTAGTTTCTGAGATTAGCGCGTTTAAACAAACAAACTCTTCAGCTTTATATATTAGTATAGATTTTGCATTCTTGAAATTACAGTGTACGTCTTGCGCAACATTTCATTAGTGTTATTTAATTTAAAGTGGAAAATATAGAATATTCTACGGATGTTTTTATAAAATAATAACGAAAATATATAACTTGAAACCTCATTAATTAAATTAAAGTTAACCTTGCCTGTCCTCTAGCGTGAAAAGCATTAAGAGCAGATTATGTCATCACATGTGATTTATAATACTAATATATAAAGCTGAAGAGTTTGTTTGTTTGTTTGAACGCGCTAATCTTAGAAACTACTAGTTCGAATTGAACAATTCTATTTGTCTTGGTTAGAGAATATATCGAGGAAGGCTATAGACTATAAAACATCTCTCTGTCACTTATAGGAGCGAAGAAACAGCGGGAAAGGTGAAAGACGACTAGCTACGAAAACAGTAGCGTATACCCACAAAATATGTATAAGAGAATGATTCCCCTTTAAGTAATTCCCCCTAAAAATGTTCCTCACAGAACATATCTATATTTTATGATTAATTTGCAAAAACGACGGGACGCGGACGACATCGTGGATCACAGCTATAGTTTACAAAAAAGTGAACATAGCAAAAATAAATTTTGTTGCCCAAAATAACTACGTGAAAGAAGTCGCTGACATAGCTAGTGTGATATAATAGCGTTATAAATATAATAATTCGCTTACTCGTAAGTAGTTAAAACGTAAGTAATAGACAAACGGACTAGCTTGGTATTTCTTTAGGTTTGTCCTTAGACACGCTGTCGTTGCTCACAAATACCATATTACAAACTTACCTTCTTGGAAAATACATATTTGCGTATACGACACAATACTGTCAACCGTGTGTTACCATTGCATTTGGTTAGCGTGAAAGGTTCTAAATTAAAGGTTCAGTTTGGGAAACTGTTTCGGTCGAGCAGGCCCCAGACCCCCACCCAGTCATTTACCATTTGTTAATACCAATAAATAGGTGACCTGGTAAATTCAATTATTCTTAGGGAATTGGATTGTTATAAAAACGCGTCTCGTGAGTTAATCTTTTTTATTTGATTGGTTTTATTTTTTAAATATTTTTTTAACAATAATATTTATTTGTCGTTTAATCTTGAGTGTCGTGAACCGTTTTCTCAGTGCACGCAAATAAAAAGGTCGATGATAAATAACTTTCCGAGTTTCATTTGCCATATATCACAGCGTGTTGTTTTATAGCAAAAGCCTGTCTTAATAAATGGTTCAACACAAAAAATTAAAGCCAGTACTCCTGATGGGCGGTAGAAATTCAAACGAACTTTTCAGTTTTATAAAAACGGTATAAAGTTAAACAGGCAAAGACTTATGGTGCGCATAAGGAGAATATAATTTGCAATACAATACCCATAAAATTACCAGTTATTATGACAATTACTTATTTTTATCTCTGCAACACATCCGAGACGAACGTTGAAGAAACAATTGAATATACAATTTGAATTTAAAAAAAATTCATGCGCATAGACCGATAAAAACATTAACGAAAGACAATGAATGATTTAACGTGTCTTCTATATAAGTCGTATCTTTAACGAAAATATCATTTGTTTATTAAATTTCAAGTGTTGCGTACGCGTTTATAAATTTTTCGTCAACGCTAAAATGTCGGTGGCCGATTTTTATGCTGGTAAATGTGTTTTTATCACTGGCAGCACTGGATTTTTGGGAAAAGTAAGTGCTTTGTTTAAGTACTGTCTGTAGTTAATGCGAGTAGTACCTATTTAAAAAAGAAAACACTTTTAACTGTTTAAAACGGGAAATGTATTAGTTAGAATCATTTGTAATAAGTATACTAAATCGAAGCATTCTGATTAGTAACATTTTTAAACTATTTTTGTCAAAACAATAAAAAGTCTAGTTATCTATTTAGCTATATGTAATAAGTGACTTATAGATAACAATAAAAAAAATGTTACCTGTATTTTTTTTCATGTAAAAAATAATTTATTTCCAAATTATATTTTAATGGTAAGTATAACGCAAGAGTGTTGAATAAAAATGTTTAAGAAAATCTCAAGCTGTTCTCGAACTGGTGACACTCAATGTTCCTGCCGTGTCGTTCATGCAAAACCTATAAATTTTTAATAGTCCTATATACAATTTTCTTACTAATCAAATGTCTGTGTTCTTAGGTGTTATTAGAGAAAATATTATACAGCTGTCCCGAGATTGAGAAAATTTACATTCTTCTGAGAGGAAAAAAGGGATTAGGCATTAGTGAACGTCTTCAGCAGATTCTCGAACTGCCAGTGAGTTGTATTAATAAAATTTATTAACCCTTAGCCTAATTAAGATTATTTATTAGGACGTATTTATAAAAAAAGTATATAAATTTCATTTTACAGTCTATACGTTTTTTATGTCCTCTACACATTTTTTCTTGATAGAGATCCTCCAAACCCTAAACATTTATAGATTAAATATTGATTACCGTCATAATAACTATTTCCAATCAGTTTTTGTCACATACGATTTCAACTTATTTATAGACAGCACTTCACTTTCAAACTTTAATAAAAAAAATATTTGTTATGCCTACTGTAAAGATGCCCTCCTTTAGGGCGGTGAAGTAAACATTCTTAGATGTACAATTCACTAATCCATTTTATTACAGTCTAAACACTAATATACAGATTAGATTTCTGTGCCCTATCCAACCGAAACGATTGTTTTACCGGTATTCGAACCCTGGTACACTTGTGCTCAACGAAATTCTATGCAACACATTTAATGAAATAAAATACCATAAAAAATAAAAAAACTATATTAATTAGTTAAAACTAGCAAACTCATTATGAATGAAAATGTCTTTAACCATTTTTAAAAACCTTGTAGATTTTCACAAGATTAAAAAGAGACCGACCAAAGGATTTGGAGAAGATATATCCTGTTGCTGGAAATATAGATGAAGACGGTCTCGGTCTGTCAAAAGAAGACCATCAGCTTTTGATTGACGAGGTGAATTATTGCAAATATCCTTTTAACATTTCACAGCTGAGTTTTGAACTGAGTCACTGAACTATCCACAATAGAATGTCAAGTCCTGAAGCGCTAGACCACCACGAGGTGAGGTTACATAAAACGATTAAATTTGCCTTAAATTTAATTACTATATGATACTATATGATAGCAATTAAATTTTGATTCTTAAACTCACCGTTTTTAGGGTTCCTTACTTAAAGGGTAAAAATCCGATCTTCTTAATAACACGCCGCTATCCGTCTGTCAGGCTGTGTTTTAAGAACTGAGCTTGAAGAATTAGCTTGAGAGTTAATTGTTTTTTATAAAACACATTCAACGGTTCAAAACGTGAAATATATAAGTTAATATATTTATTTTAACTACAGCCTGACGTTTTGGATGCTTAGCAGCAGCTAATAAACGTTTATAATAAAATCGTGTTTACCGTTAAAAGTGTTGTATTTAAATTAGTAATAAATAATTATAAATGTTTTACAAAAGAACCCAAATGGTCTTAACCAATAAAAGTATTATATAACGCACTAGATATAAAAGAAGCCGAAATGGAATTAACTGTTTTTATAAGATGTAAAAAATGGCCAACAGTACAAATAAACAGTCTAAAAATAACGCATTCAATGCTATTATTTTAAACGTGAAATAAAATATAACTATTTTAGGTATGACCTTTTGACCTTTACCGTGACGCAGTAAGGTTTCGCACATATGGCATGCATTGCGTAAAAGCGAAAGTTCCTAAGTTTGACTCCCAAGAAATATGATAAACATTGGATGAGAGACAGAGTCGTTTATTCAAATCTTTAGTTTTCTAAAGCTGTATGAGTAAATGTAATGAAAAGTTTTGCTAATTTTGCAAGTGCACATGTTCGGTTGATTAAAAAAAACTTTATATAGGCATATCTCTTTAGCGGTGTTGCGCAAGATCCAAAACCGCAAGACAATTAATGATTACTTCAATGAATAATGTTTCTTCGATAGAAAAACCTTCGATTTTAATATAATCAAAAAGATTCTAGATTGTGTTTGTATAAATGATAGTAAACTATTGTCTGTCACTATATAGTAAAAATTTAAAACATAACTCTTTTAACGGTTTGAAACGCCATATATTAGTTAACTTATTCAGAGTAGCACGGAGGCACGGTGGGTTTCCATGACCACGTTTGCTGGATGCCAACCGAAACGTTGGCCCGTAGTTATAATAAATTGTAAATACTTCTAACTCATACATTTCACGTTTTGAACCATTAAAAATGTTTCATTTAGATAAATGACAGTTTTTTCGTGACTCTTATACTAATAATTCCGGCAATTCGAGCAAAGTTATTTCCTATCTAACGTTAACGTTAAAAATAAAGTTGTCACTTCTGCCAGTGCAAACAGAGTCTAGCATAGTACATAGTACATGATTGTTTTTTTAGGTTTCTTGCGTTTTCCACTCAGCAGCAACAACGAGATTTACGGAACCCCTGGACGTTACACTGAACACGAATGTTAAAGGCACAGAACGCATTCTTACGCTATGCAGGCTTATGAAGAAGTTACATGTGAGTGATAGAAATTAAATAGAATACATTTGAAAATATTAATATTTTTTACGTGTTCACACATGGTGGCACTATATATGTAGAATAAAAATCGAAAATAGATTGATAAAAGTTTCGACTCGGGCAGTAAGCACGTAACGCTGTCTGACGATGTTGATTCAGGCTCTGCCCGAGTCGAGAATTCTTTCAATTTATTTTCGATTTTTAATCTATAGAATGCATTTACAGAATATATTATTACATAAATAAACATTTATAATGTTAATTAATTAATTAATTTCTTAAACTTCGCAAAAAATTTAAATTGTACAACATTAACATATCACTTTGCAGTGCCTGAGTGCGAACATTGTTTTTTTATTTTTAGGTTTTGGTCCACGTTTCAACAGCTTACTCGAACATACACAAAATATTTATAGAGGAGAAGTTTTATCCACCTCCCATACCAATATATAGAGTGGACGAAATTATCAAAGAGAGGCCGGATCAGAAGGAGGCGAAACTGTTAATTGGTACGTAAGATCATTGTCCAAAAATGGCCTCAATGGCACAACAATGTGGACCTTGAGGACATAGGACAGTAGTGTGAACGCCAACAATTCTACTTACATATATATATTTTTGATATTGATTGGTCAAAGTTTTATGAATTAATGTAAACGTTTGAAGACATTTAAGTTAATGTTAGGAGGCTAGACAAACATCGGGGCTCAATTGATGATAGGTGAAACACTTAAGCCATACAACATCTAAACTTCACATGTTTATTGTTGGCCACAGCTACAATGAATAGTGAGCTTTCTTATTAAATATTTTTCTTAGTTTGAAACAAGTGATTTAAAAATAAGCACGTTTTAGACAAAGTTATACACACACCGTCTTATACCTGTTCATATTAAAATGGTGAAACCCGTTTCATGAGGTATGGGACAGACAGGCAGAAACATATCTATCTGTTTTTTTCTTTAATATAGAGGAGGACAGACAAACTTGAGGCTCACTTGATGGGTAGGTGACTTCAGACATATAACATCTAATTAAGACGTGTTGTCGACCTAATTTGGCTTTGGATATTCGGGAATCTACAGATTAAAACCAAAACGCGATTACCCATTTTTGCTCCTGGTCAATTATATTTAGTGGAAAGAAATCCACCAAACTACTGCCGAACCGAAATAGCTTTTATCATACGTTATGTGAGCGTAAACCAACAAAATAGCTATGTAATGCAATCAACTTTTTTCACGGAAACAATCTTTCTATATTTAATCGATTATAAATAAACACAGGTGACAGGCCCAACGCATACGCGTTTTCAAAGTCATTGGGAGAAGCTGTAATTGCGCAGACGCATGGAAATGTTCCTGTTGTCGTCGTCCGACCATCAATCGGTATTATTTATGTAAATTGTATAGAGATTTCAGTACCAACCGCTTAATTAAGAGAACTGCTTGAACTGAATAATAATGAGAATTGAATAAGTTGTAAACTTTGATCGGAAATCTTAAATGCAAGAAACAAAAGTTAATTATCACGACTCGAAGTTGTCCATTCAAAAGCTTATGTTTTGAAACAATTAATTCAAAATGTTTTCCTTTCATTTTACATATTCAAATCTATATAAATATTATAAAGATTTTTTTTGGAACTCAGGGACTACTAGTTCCACTTGAAAAAATATTTTCGTGTTGGTAAGCTTTTATTGAGGAAGGCTTTGGACTTTAAAACGCTGAAATCTATAGAAGGGAAAATGTGGAACAAATTTATTTGTCTTTGATATGACATCGAGAGTTGATAGCATATATCTATCTTTTAAGTGTAACTTGCAAGAACGACGAAAGCGGATAAGTCGTGTGTAACAGATAACATTTATAAAGATAAGGAGGAGTATTGCAAAAACAAATTTGACGCCCTAAATATTTACTCTCCGCGGATGAAGTTGCTGGCATAGCAAGTTATATAATATAAATAATATTCCTTGGTGAACAGTATTATATGGAGTTTAAGTTGCGGTTAGTTGTAGAAATCTAAAAAAGTGATACTAGATTCCATTTGCGGCATCTATAAGCTATTGCTTTTTAGTAGTCAATAATAGTTGTGTACTAATTCTGACGTCCAATTTAATTGTTACCTCTCTAGTTTGTGCAAGTTTAGCAGAACCAATACCTGGGTGGCTAGATACCTGGGGTGGAGCCACTGGGATTATTGTTCCTGCGTGTAAAGGCCTAGCTAGGGTGGTCCCAGGTAGAGGAAGTAATGTCCTGGACCTCATACCTGTGGACTACGTCATCAACTTGATGATCGTGGCTGCGACGCGGAACGTTTCGTAAGATTTATGAAAAATTTCATTTTTTAGTTAAAGGGGGATAAAAGTGAAAATTTGGCCTTAAGTTTTATGTCGGTGCCACTGCTCGATTTTATTTAAAGGTAAAAAAAAGTTGTTCAGGCAAACAACTCAATGTAAAAAATTATCGTGTTAACTATTTTCTTGCTATAAATAGGTAGTTAAAAATTTGTTACTAAGTTATTTTACTTTTTTTGTGCTTTAATACCTAAGTAGTTCTTTTTCTTTGATTTCAGTCCGCGTGACGTACTTATATACAACTGTGCCACAAGTACCGAGAACCCCTTAACATTGAATAAACTTAGTAAAACAGTTATACCTGACGGTAAAAAACATAAATTTAGTAAGTATTAGGAAAAGGATTCCTTGCATTTACAGTAATTGTATAAAGAGATAGATTCTAAAAAGTAAAGCGTCAAATTTTAAATATTCCTTTAACAAAATTAAGCAAAGTATTTTTCACAATATTATAGAACATTAAAATAATAAAAAAAACTCTATTTAGTAGATCTATAAAAATATTTATTTCAGATGAATTGCCGATTCCCTCACTGATGTTCATAGAATCAAAACTAGTTCTCAATATTACGGCAGCTGTACTGCAAACATGTCCAGCGATCTTGGCAGATGCATTCTTACGAATGGCAGGAAAGGAGCCGAAGTAAGTAAAATTGTCCCATGGCCCACGCGAGGCAGACGTTTCATTTTTAATTTGGTGAGAAAGAGAAAATTAAGAATAATAGTAATGGGGACGTCACTATACTAAAAGGTACATGACCTGTTTGCTTACCGTTTTATACGAATTATTTTTGAACAAAGTAGTAAACAAATTTTAGTCTTAATTATTCGGAGGTAAAGGTCGTTGAACTTACATAGATCTATATCTATAGGACACTTATCTCTCTAACAAATATGCAATAAACCTTTTTTTGCAGATACAAAAAGCTAATTTCTCGAATTGAACAAGTAATAAATATTCTTGAATTTTACACGCGTCATTCTTGGAAATTTAGCACGATACAGTCATTTCTACTGGCTTCGAGTCTATCCCAGAGTGACCGAGAGAAGTTCGAATTTAGTCCATCCACCATTGATTGGACGAAGTATCTACTTATATACAGCGCTGGGATTAGGAAGTATATGTTTAAAAATAAATCGTAGATCGTTAGAACTTGTTTGTAATTTGTAACCGTATCAGAAGTATCTTTATACATTGGAAATCATATGTGTTCTTAGGTTACATGAAGAAACTATATAAATAAAAAATATATTTAGCTTGAAAAAGTTTAAGGTTAAAATTACATTGCGCGAGAAATTGGTTGAAAAATTCGACGATGTCGTATAGGGCAAGGCAGTTCAATTGGTTAGAGCAACAGCACGGAACGCTGCGGATGCCGGTTCAAGTCTGCCCGTGGCATTTTTATCTTTATACATATGTAAAGTTGAGTTTCATTTCTTCAAACGATCGAGGGTTGTCTAATCATCTTTAGAAAAACAAAATGAATAAATATAAGGTTGACTGACGATATTTCCTCTCATATATTGAATAAACTGAATTTAATGATGAATGATTTTTGACAGGGGCTGAATCTATCTTTTTCTATGGTGCGACTCTGTCGTCGCTGTAATCTGGAAACTCGAATTCACACACGCGTCTGTCCTATGGATAGTAATTACATTGCTTTAACTTACATATTCGGATGAAATATCCTTTAGAGCATACAAAACACTCAGCACGGGCCGCCCGCGCCGCTTAGATTCCCCTTCGCACACCGCGTCCCACCGCACGTCTGAGCAGCGCTGCGACCGCGCCGGCACAGCCTCAGCCGCGTGCTGCGCCCGCGCCACCACACAAACACTGAACTGCATTTTGCTCACTAACACTTATACTTATTTGTACATCACTCTCTTGAGACACTTTCTATGCTTAGCATATTATAATTTCCTTGTCTGAAAAAACGCCTTTAAGATTTGAAAACTTTATTATTTTTGACATGTTATTGCCCATGAAGGCACTATACAATTTATTTTCGATTTTTAAATCCTTTAAGATTGTTAAGTAAACTCATGTACGCGAGTATTTGTAACGGTTAAGCTTTGTTTCCCTTCGTATCAAAATATTCATCAAATATTTTTAATAATAGACTTCAGTCTCTGTCTTCTTTCTTAAGTAAGTAAATCAATAAACTATATTTAACATTCGTGGACTTAGAACATCAGAAACAGCTGTCTCCAGCGCCTCCAGCATCGGCCCGTCTCATGAGACCACCTTCCGTTATACTTAATGCATTTGATAGCCGCTCGTATACCATTTTTGCCCCCGTTTAGTTATTGTCCACCTTACTATCGCGATTACTAGAAATTGTTTGTTACTTTACTGAATATTCCCATATTTAAACTATAAACGCGTAAAAAACAACTGACACCACGTTACGATCAGTCAAAGACCGGGAGCGTTGACCACTGATTTATAAATAAAATCCTTTAGACTACCTTACTTAGCAAGGCGGGTAGACTATATAATACTAAGTAAAACTTATAATTACGTTCGATTGATGGTAAATATACTTAATAGTTATTGTATGTGTAGAATAGAATTTATTACTAAAACCTGTGTATGTTTGTTGTTAAAGTTATCAAGTTCGATTCAAGATACTATTTATTAATCAATACTATGTGACGAAAAAGAAATAACAGACAGACTACAGTTTAAAGCCATAGCAGTTTATTGAAAATATATGCTTTACCGTTATAACATAAAACAATCTAAAGAAGTATAAATATATAAGTCTTAAAAGTAACTATACATTAATATCACAATGGCATACAATATTTATAAATTGAATAAGCAGTGTGAATTGTATCGTTCAAATACAGAAACCTTCAAATGAATTTAAGTTCTGTTGGTCGCTATAAAATGTATTTTATAAATAGAAAACCACGTTGAAGTGACTTGAAAATACTCCCACCGCCGACGAAGAACGAGTGGAAGCACAAAATATATACGTGTGGCGAGGAGCAAGAGTTAAATTCCAAAACTTTTGTCCCTGGACTATGCATCTTTTAAGCCACACAAAATAAATGACCGCTTTTTTGTCTCTCAGCGAGTTTTAAGCTAGTGGGCATCGCAATGTGCTATATTTTATACCTTAAACTCAACGACAAAAGAGTCCTCTATAACAATCTAAATAGTCAGTGATTAAATATACCCATATCTTTTGTTCACAAGGATATCTGTTATCATGTATCTCTTTTGCACGTTCACAGAATTAGTGGCTATCTCGCCGGAGGTGGGAAACTTCACACTTATATGAAAAGTTTAAAATAATTTGATGGCATGTTATTCTAATAATTCATTTTCACTCATTTCGCGAGCTGGGAAATGCTTTTTAGTTGAACGTTTAAATAACATACACGATGAAATGGCGACCATTTCTCCATAATGGGTTATCCACTATCACTACCATCCTTCCTTTCATTCCGCGACACTTGCCTCCATATGCTACAACGATATGAAGTTACTAATTAAATCGACGTATTATATTAAGCCTTATTCATTGCTTCTTTTTCTCTGCCGGGTCTACCAAGAACCTCTTGACTCCTCTGAAGTAGATGGGCATATAAACTTTCCAATCGATAAGATTAGCGTCGCACGGGAACTGCTTTTGGTCGCTTTTACTTAGGCTCTGGTAAAGCGACCGGGTGCGGTTGTTCATGATCTTCCAAGGATAAGACGCAAAGAAGCAAATAGTGTCCAGGTATGAGGACAATTTAGTTTGTATTTTCACATATCTGAAATAAAGCAACTTGTTAATGAAAAGTATACCTAGACTCTACGCCTTAAGGTTGAAATTACATTGCGCAAGTACACGTATCGATGGGTTAAAGAAATACGACAACGACGTGTGCACATAGTTGCTCAACTAGAGCAGCAGCTTTGGATGCTGGTTAGTGTTCATGTGATTTAAATTTATATAACGCAATGTGCAAAAAATATCATTCAAACGGTTTTTGTTTAAAATACCTGTTCTTAGATAATATTGAAAATTACTTAACCAGACCAATGTCCGATGATGAGCACCAGATTATAAATATTGATGACTTTCTTAGAAATATTTACTGGTATTCTTCTTTAAAAGCTAATATTTTGCCTAATATTTTGTACTTATTAAATCAACTCCTTTATGTAAAAAAAACAATAATAAAACAACCACAGGTGATACGAGAGTATTAAGAACTTACCTTGATGATTTTCCAATAATATAAAGGAAGAAATCGGCCAAGTAAGCTGGTAAAGTTTGCATGAAGAAGGACGCTAGTGAGAGCAACCACAACGATTTTGAGAACATCGTACCCGGGAAAGGCAGTTCATCTGAAAAAATTAAAGTTGGAAGTTAAGATCATGGTCTAGTAAAGCATGAGTATCAGGAAATAATGACGAACTATTAACTCTAGGTAGAGTCAAACCTAAGCAACTTAAGAACTGTCTGAAGTTAACGCGAACTGAACACATGAAACACTTTAACGGTTTAAAACGCGATGCACATTAGTTAAACTTATTTGGGAATTATTTTAACTACGGCCCAGTCGCGGCTGCTGCAAAGCAGTTTAACTAATTGTATATTAGCATTTTAAACCGTTAAAGTATTTCATTTAAATAAAAATAACTTGTTTTTTTTTATTTCTGCGTATGAGTTGAGAGTATAGTATATATTTATAAAGAGTTTAAATACTTACTGAATCCATGTTTACCACTCTCTTCTATAAACAAAGCTGCTGCTTGTGTCAACGTAATTGGGTTGCTCCCACTACTGCAGCAGTGGTATATCGGGACTTCGTTTGATCTACAACAAAATAGTAACTCTGTTACCTAACAACTAATAAGCTGTTAGTGTCTTTAGCAGATTTATTCCTTTTTCAAAATCAAAATGCATTAAGGTCGATGCCCTTTGAATTATTATTAAAGGAAAAGTATTATAGAAAAAATCCTGATAAATAAAATTAGCAATGCGGACGTTAATATGGAATACAATATTTTTTTAATAAACAATAATTAGATTAATTTACTTACAAAATAATAACATAAAACGTATTTTGGTTTAGTTAAATAGAAATGACTTTGTAAATATTTTTAAACCAAAGATTTGAAGTCTGTGAAGTAATAAGAACAGTAATATGTACAGAAAAATTAAGAAAAGGAGAAATAGGCAAAAAAATGTTTTTATTACTTTTAAAACGCTGAACTACCTTCGAATACCTACTTTTTACATCTTGCACCGCTGATGATAGTTAGATTGACGACATAGTCGATCGGGATGATCTCAAAGCTGTAGGATTTGTCTCCGTACAGTGTGCGCACCCAGCCCTTGGCGATGAGTGAAAGAACTGGCGTTGGTCCTTGCCAATTGTCGATCCATCCTTCTACTGGTTCTTGAAGAGCGGCGGTTACTACAAATGTCAATTAGTGTTAGTATTTCTTTTTTCTTGATCACAGTAATTTTGTGTCTATCTTATTATACAAAATTTTCGACTCAGGCAGGACTTGAACCGGCATCGTCAGCTTTCCGTGCTGTTGCTCTTTTATACATATAGTGCCTTCATGTGCAATAACATGTGAAAAATATTAATGTTTTCAGAGTCGATTCATAATTGTTTTTACACTTACCGACAGATGGCCGAACAATGACAGTTGGCATGTCTCCGTGGTTTTCTAAAACGTAGTTTTCAGCTAGAGCCTTTGTGAAAGTGTATGTGTTGGGGCGGCCGTCTAAAAAGAAACGAAATTGTTAAAACGAATTGTCTGTTGTCCTACTAAAACGTGTCCTTAATATTTGTATAAATTATAAACAGAAAAGATTATAACAAAAACTATATGATATGTCCATATCTACTCCATGATTTTAATGAAGTATTGTATAAAATACCTCATAAAATAAACCCAATCTAATGAGAATTAGAAATTTAAGCTGTAAGTGCTAAAAGGAAGCAAAATTGTTTAACTACAAGATCAATACCCTTGTATTGTACGCATTAATTCGACTTTATTAATATAGAGAAGAAAGAAGCATGATCACTTGATGGTAGGTGAAATCAACAGACAGTATAACATCTAAACAAGATGTGCTGTTGATTTTGGACATTTAGTACAGTCAAGATGTTTACAGTAGCAAATCCTTAATAATACATCTAGTTGAAAAATATACACGTACCTAAAACGTCAGGGTTGAATTTCTCGTTGGGATCATTATTGTTGATCATATCGTAGACTTCGTTGATGGGTTTTGGTGGTGGGTATATTTTCTCCTCGACGTATGACCTGTATACGCTGGTGTTGGAGAAGGCCGTTGACATATAGACGAAAGACTGCAACGAAACGTCACTTTAAATTTTCTAGAATTTACGAGTAATATTCTACTAATGTGATCGTGGCTATTTTCGTGGGAATCAGCAGTATATGACCAAAAAAAGCCTATACATTATAAAATTCTCAGCCTAAGCGTACTCGCTAAAACAGTCAATTGTTCTGCTTCGGTTTTCCTTATTTACTTTTTGCGCGTGTAAAACTTATCATTCATCGCAACTGCGTCGTTTCGCATGGGAAGATCGTAAACTAGATAGGTACATACTTGCAAATTCTTCATTTTTTGCGCCAATTTCATGACCTCCCTGGTCCCTTCTACGTTGACTCTCATAGCGACGGACAATGGCTCGTTAAATTTTATTGTTGCGGCTAGGTGGAACACCACGGAGACCTGGAATCAGATTTATTTGTTAATCTGAGAGTTTAATAATTGACAATACTTGAAAACGGTAGTTGGAGTGTCTCTAAGCAGTTTAGCTACCGCAGTATAAAAAAAATATGAATTATATACTACCACCTTAGCTATTGAATTAAGTAAATGAGAGAAAGGTTTTAGATAAGTCAAATTATCTTATTCTTTCTCTTATTGAACATTATCATCACCTTTAAGATTCATCTAATCTAACTTAAGTTTCAACACACAATCACCTTAATCTAAAAACTGTATTTATTTTCCTGTGTGAACGTGTCTACTTTGTTCTTTGCTTCTTTAATTATACCCCTTTTGTGTTACTGAAATTGTAAACTAATAACGCTAACTCTAATACTAATATTGTTTTTTTTACTTATGACTAGATATATCATCCAGTTACATATTCAATGAAAATCCAAATTGATGCACCGCAGATGGCCACAGATTAATAAATACTAACCTCTTCAAATAGTGTGTTTTGGTCTTCAGAGCTGGTGCCAAGCCAGTCAGCAACAAGATCTCCGTACACAGGAACAATTTTCTCAAATGCTTCAGGGTTTTCCTTGCTTAGTCTCACGAAGGGCTGTAAGAATTTTAACTTTATTTTTATTTGTTTGTAAACAAAATATTTAACGCATTATTAACATCTTTCTTTTGTTATTTCTACATAACATTATATGATAAGCCTGTTAATTAGAAAATTTAATACAAAAAAAAGTATTATATCCTTATCTAAAACTTAATTGTTTTATACTATTGGTTCACATACATATGCCCAAGAATCATACCTCTGTCGCCAGCATCCTCTTCATCCTCTCTTCGGCTGACACTCCTCTTTTTTCGCGGATCAACATGAAAATCTTGCCAATGTCTTTGCAGCTGTAGAGTAGTTTTTCAATAAGGGCCTGAAAATAAAATATAAATTATATAAAACACGAATATTGAACGAAATACAATGAGCTCGTTATGGACCTATGACAGCAGAATAGGTATAAAATAATAATACTCTTTATTGCTCTAACATATTTACACCGAAATAGAACACAGATATTAAAAATATATATATACAAATAAAAACGCTTGTGCCGAGGCGGCCTTATTGCCTATGGCGACTTCTTCCGTGCAACCTTTGCATGTGGAAAGAAAAACTAAATTACAAGTATAAAAGTAAAAGTCAACAAGGAAAATGAAAATATGCTGTAAAATAAACATTTAAACTAGACATTTAACACTAACAGTGTTATGTTAGTAGGCAACTTAAAGCATTTAACACCTAGAGAAGCATAAAAAGGTCTTAAATGTAATTATCATCATTATCATTCTAAAGCCAGTGAGGCCAAATAACATTATCAAAAAAGAGCGGCTTAACCCTGGTCTTAAATATATTATGACTATGTGAGAGTCTGACTGTGAATGGTAGCTCCTTATGGCCGCCTATATCGAAAAAAAAGAGACTTAAAACGTTGATGAGTGGATATTCATGGAGAGAAAGCGGTTATTGGTAGAACGAAAGTCTCTGCAATAAATCTCTGCTTTAGAAGTGCGCGGATCAAAAAGAATGGACAAAAGAAGACAAAGGATCTAATTTCGACGAAGTCTTATAGGCAGCCATTTTAGTTTTGGTGTAAATAATATAAATACAAGCCAAAACTAATGGAAACCTATAATTAATAATGAATGTTCCATACCTTTCCGAGAAACCCAGTCCCACCGGTGATGAAAACCGATTTTCCAGCATAGAACTCCGGAATCGAAGAGTCGTTGACTTGTTGTTTCTGCATCGCCTGCGTCTTTCGCTTTCCGGATCTTGCGTTGTTTGGTGCCATTTTCTGAAAAGATATTGAGTTCCAGGTAAATATCTAAAATTCTCATTAGTTCCAACATGATTCTTTATATTTGTATGATTATGGAGTACTTCCTATTATTTATATCATACGTTTGTCTGACTAAGTTTATGATTGTAAATCTTATGAATAATTATATTCTTGTTAGGTACTACTAGCAACAAAACAGCGCTATTAGCACCGAAAATGTCAGGTTGTAGGAAACAATAATTCAATATAATATTGCATGTTTTAAACAGTTTTAAAGACTGTTATTTAATATACTTCTAGGAATATATAACTAGTACGTTTTGATATTTATATTGGCTTGTTTCAATCGTCAAAGCATCTTGAGCTGTAAAAGCTATTTAAAACTATTTCTCTTTGACTTTGTAAAAACCATAATAATAACTACATTGCATTTGTTACAAAAATTATCACCTAATTAATTTCGTAACACTGCCATACATCCTGCAAGCGTTAATGACCCGATTAGATATGTGAAATAGGATTACACGATGACATAGTCCACAGATAGTATTCATATGAATGAATTAACATGCACACGGCGCATGAGCATTTCGGCCCGATCTAGTGATTAGTCTTGATTGAGCGACGCTTTATCTGATCATACGTTTTGTTTTGACGTCAAGATCACCGATTAATAGTTTAATATATGACTACTATCAGCAGGTTGATTACCTATTATCTGTTATTATTATTTTAGATTAAATCGGTTCGAATTGGATTTGAATCTACGGTTCGCAAGTTCATATACAAGGCACGGGAGGATCCGTGCAGCTTGGGAGTATTAACAACACCACTATTGCATTCTTCTATTTAATTTTCCTACATTAGTAACTTAACTAAAATAATACCATGCCTATTTAAATGACATGTAATGTTTTATTTATCATATTATTTTAGAACGACGTTGGTCTAATGGAAACAATGTACGGCTAATAATTTTTTATGATTGTGGGTTTTATTCCCACCGACTCCAAGATGTTTCTTGTAAATTTATACTTTTTCTAAAACATAGACGTGCTGATAATCCGGATGGATGGCAATATCGGAAATTCCATCCGACTCACGAACCACCGTCCACAGACGAAAAAGCCGTCAAGGTTTATCGGATTTCGGTTTCAGCCGGTGGATTTCCGAATATCCAAAGCCGAAAGAGGTGGACGACATATCTTTTTTAGATGTTATATAGCATATATAATATATAATAATATAACATCTAAAAAAGATATGTCGTCCAAATATGTAATTCATGTGAAAAATTATAAAATTAATCGATCGTCATGAATTGTATGAAGAAATTGTTTAGAGGTGTGAAAAAAATCAATTAAATGATTGAGGATAATAAAACTGTTAAATTACGATTTTGCTTATAAAAGTGTCTCATAAATAATATTTGTTGTCAGGCCAATCATTGGATGACGTAATGAAACTAATTAGCGAATTTTGACATGATTTATGGTTTTAGGTAAGTTTTTCTTTAAATTCAACACACAGTTAAATTAGACAAAAAAAATGAATGCCTTTTAAAACGACGGTTGTGATGGAGGGGCACAGACAAGCTTTGATGGAGGTGAAATATTTCAGCCATATAACATCTTACCAAAATGCGCGGTCAACCTATTCTGGCTTAGGTATTTGGATATCCACAGAGTGAAACTGAAACGCGATTAAACTTCTCGGCTTTTATCTATGGACAGCGGTAATGTTAGATATTCTTCCCTTTATAATATCCCGATTTCCATACGAAGTTCAACACGTTTCAGAAAAATTACCGTATATACAGACACGTATTACACGTATTATACGATTATTAGCCATACATCGCTATCATAGGACCATCGAGCCCGTCCGTATTTGAAGATACTACTACAAAGAGTGATAAAATACTGTCAGTAGTTTAGATGGGTAGTACATACTCAATTAAACCACTTTAACGGTCGAAACTTACTCTTGGGAACCATTGTCTTGATACTGTAACTTTTATCAAAGATCTTGGAATCATTTTGGACTCCAAACTTACCTTGGATAGGCATGTAGACTATGTTGTTAATAACGCGTACCGTATTCTAGGTTTCATTACAAGAGTCACACGACCTTTTAAAAACGAAGCTCCCTACATATACATTTATAAAATTCTTGTCTCAATTAGAATATGCCTGCCAAATTTGGAATCCCTTTTACGTTGTATACATGGCTCAAGTAGAAGGTGTGCAGAAAAAATTCTTACGAATTCTTAATTACCGCCTTAACGGTGCTTCTGGCAGGCACTATAATGACCTCCTTAAGCGATATAATTTAATTTCCTTAAGCCAAAGACGACACTTAATCGATTGTGTAACGCTTAGAAAAATATGTGTCAACGAATTGACTTGCTCTGAACTTCTCGAGCTTATATCATATAATGTACCACGCATGCACAGAACATTCAGCCTTCCTACTCCTAGAACCAATATCGGGTTCCGCACGCCACTCCACAGAATGTGTTCTTCCCTCGATTATTTTGTCGATATCGATTTGTGCAAAAACTCCTCTACTGCTTCATTAAAAAAAAACATTAAAAAGATTGCTTTTCTCGCCTTAGGTCTTTCAATTTAATTATGTTAATTTCGGTTAGTTTTTAGTTAAACATATAATTAATTTTATTTGTTTGTCAACTCTTACATAAAATTTTGTCTAATTTCCTGTAATTTTTATCGACGTTTTGTTTTTTTTCATATTGTATATAACATTTAACTATTTGTGAAACTATTAAGGATGCATTTTCGGTTTTATTTAGCTATAAAACCGTTTAAAAAGAGATAGTGAAAAGATTTTTAGGTATTAGGTAATGACGTATCTGGCGTTGTAAGATACGTCAATACCTCATACTTGAATGTAAATATAGTGTTAAGGCCTTGGTGGCACCAGTGAAGTGTAATCCTAAGTCCACAGAAATGTCCCCAACCTTTTTCCCTACAACACTCCTTAACCACGCAGCTTTATTTGAAATTTAAATATGGGTACATGTATTTAATATTGTTATTTCATATTTGTATTTACTTCTTTTAGCTCGCGACTTTAGACGGCTTAAATACAATATTTTCTTAACCAAACTTCTCTAGTTTTAATTAAAATACAATTATTATGTTGGGTAGTGATCGATTACCGATTAGAAAAATATTAGATACTAGAGCTTTTGAAAACATTAATATTTTTCACATGTTATTGCATGTGATGGAAAGAAAGTCAATTTTAGGTTTAAAAAATTAAACGACACGGCAGGACTTATTATTGCTACTATGTCAGATTCGATTTTGTAATTTGTTTGGATTTTTTTTCTTAGAAACGAAGGCGCCGCTTGTTTTTCTAATTTAGATTATTTATTGTTGTCTTGCATAAACTGTTTTTATATTTTTTAAGAGAAAGAGCTATTTTAATATTAAATATTACTACATATTTTTAACATTCCGAAGGGAATAAAAAATGTAGTATAACGTTTCATATGGGGAATTTTGGTATACCATATGATACGAAAATCTTAATGAAATGAACAATGACCAAATTAAATTATCAATAAATTATTTGGACATTTCAAAGATAGATTTTTAAAACAAGTTTATACATATGGTATGGAAAATTGACTTTATATTTTTAATAAATAAGCCTAATTATTAAGAAGAGAGACTTCAACTTTTTTTCAAAAAAGTGAATATTCAATATATTTTCTATCAGCGAAGTGATTTTGTATTGAAGCAGTGAACGTAACCATACATACACTTTCCCACATTTTATTCTATCAGCCGATTTTTCTAAGCAGCTGAACATCCAAACCATCGCCATTTTGATTTTATACCGAATACACATCACAAGAAATCTTAAAAAAATAGCTTACCAAAATTCTCTTTGGGAGCACAAATCTATTATATTTTCACAATATTAATTGTTTTTTTTAATATATTTGTTGTTTTGGACCGGCCGCCCGGATGGTACTGTAACGTCGTTTGGTCTTCACATTCTTATAAAGACTTCAATAGAGATTTGCATATCTTAATAGATTATAGTACTATTGTAATTAGGGTCGAGATAGCGCGCTGTTTCAACGAATGTGTGATTTTCATTCAATATTTTTTATGACGTCTAAACCTAAAACAAATATCTAATTCCGTTTAGAAATAAATAGGCAATAAGTAATAGAAACTTTATAAATCGATAATTTTAACAGTCCATACTCAAGGCATGTAAAGTTTTAAAATTATATTTAGGGTAAGTACTGGAAAAACAACGAAGTTTGATTAAATACTGTAGTTTTCGCGATTAGTACACCTTTAAATAAAACACTTCAACGGTATAAAACGCGAAATAAATTAGTCTCTATAAATAATTTTAAAATAACTTTAATTAATATATATCGCGTTTTAAACCAAAGTCAAATCAAATTAAAAATCATTTATTCATGTAGGTAGCTTAGTACACTTATGAACGTCAAAACAGGTAAAAACTTAAGACTTCTGGCAAGTATTCATCAACTATAATACGGCCGACGTAACTTGGCAAGTCTGAACAGAGGTTAGACGAATTTTGGCACATGTACACTCGTAAAGAAAACTAATAAAGCCATTTATTTTCGTTACTGGGATAAATGAAAGATTTTACCGTTAGCAAGCAAAAGTAACATATCAATAATTGATTCAAAGAGAATAAGGGCTACGAATACTTTCACTAACATACTAAGACAAAAAAATATAACAAAAGAAAAAGAATAGTATAAAATTTAACAATCACTTTTTCTAACGGACTGCGTTCAAGACGCGAAGAGATAATGAAATAAACGTCAAGGAGTGCCCGAGACACACTACGGTTTACTGAACTTTACCGAATATGTATGAAGCTTTACGAAATAACCCAATAGAGATGTCCATACTCCTTCTTTGAGAGTGTCGTTTAATCGATTGCTATTGAAATAGACAAAATTGGATTGTAGAAATATATATGTACAAAAAGCGTTAAAGAAGGTAAAAATATGTAAAAATATAAATAATAACTCATATTTAACTAAATCACGTCATTCAATAAAGAAAAATAAGTTTTTAATGATTTTATTTTCCTTAAACAGTAATTATGGTATTATTTATTAAAAACACCATTCATTGTGCTCATAAATTTATTTACTACAATATCCCCTACGATTTAAAAATTCATAATCAATCAATGGATATAAATCGATTACGAAATTTAATAGAATAAACTGTCGATTTTGTTGACAATGGGTCGCACCTCGCTCTTACCATTAACATCTTAAGGAACATTTCTGCGCAGCGTTTCGCGCTAATATCAGACTTGCCAAGTTACGTCGGCCGTATTATCATACAGTCGATCATATTCATATTAGAGCGACGGAATAGCAGGATGTGGAAAAAATGGGGAAAGATTTTCATCCTTGGTCTTAAAAACTCTTTTAAGACTAACTTGTAAGAACGTTGGGACGTCGTGACGTTGAACAGCCTTCATTTATAGAGTTAAACAGGAGTTTCGCAAAAACTAATTTTTACGCCCAAAACATCACACACAGTAGTTACACAGCTAGTATAAAATATTTACGTAAGCTGTTATTTGCAAGTGTAAAAATAATACCAAATACAAATACATATTTTTTTGTTATCCAAAAACTTAAACTCTTTTTCTCTACTATATTTAGAGAAAAAATAGGCAAAAAAATATATAGTAGGATGTTATTATTTATCCTTACTAATATTATAAATGCAAAAGTAACTCTGTCTGTCTGTTACTCTTTCACGCCAAAACTATTTCTGAACGGATTTAAATGAAATTTAGTATAAAGATGAAAGTTTGTATGGAAATTCTGTGGTCTTTTAAGGTAAAACAATGGTGAGTTCCAGGTAGCATCTATTGGCTATTTATTCTGTCTATTTAATTAGTATAAAAAAGGGAATACCCAACTACGGAGATTAGAATTAATTAATTATGTATTATTTTAAAATAAGTATGGATCTATGGTCTGACAAATAAATTATTATTATTATTATTATAAAACTAGTTTGTATAAAGATGAGACCCTGGTGGGCGTGGGCGTGGGAGTGATAGTTTGTGGAGTGAGTGTTTTTTAGAAAATAACAAACTAAAACAATAAATCTTGGGTTGGGTAGAGTTTTGGGAATTGAGAGTGGGAGTTAAAGTAGGAGTGATGTGAGGTGAGAGTGTTGTGGCAAAGGAGTCCTTACCATAGATTGGCTGCCTTAAATACGCCCCTACAAAAATTTATAAACAGCCTCAATAATTAAAAATTCTACCAAAATTCACTATTTCACGCGGATGAAGTCGCGGGTACAGCTAGTTATTAATACGAAGACTTTCTTTTCGTAAAAAAAAAATAATTTATTTTATTTTTACAATGTATTTGAGTGAATAATAGTGAATAAAGATTCTAAAGTGTTAATAAATATAAATTTTGGAATAAACACGTGTAATTTTTATCATAAGCAATCGAATTATTGAGTCATTATGGGCTTAAGAAACTATTGTAGATATGCTTACTACTGTTTTTTAGCATTACTCCACTAATAGGCTTTGGTGGTTTTCTTGACGTTAACTTAAAAAATATTTGTTATCGTAGTTACTTTTCTGTTTAATGCTAAAACACTTATTCATAACCGCGACCTTAGCTCACTGGTTAAGAGGCTTTCGGTTTGAATCCCGGTAATACAATAGATTGTATCGTACGAGCAGGGTCTGTCTGTCTGTCACGTCACTGGCTCATTATTTAATGTGCTGGAATTTTCAATATGAAATCTAACGTCTGTTTACAATTTTTTTTTTAGAACTGTGTTAATCGAACCCATGACACGTAGATTAAAAGCCATATATAGCTATCGTTGTTATAATAAATAACTACTGACCAGCATGCTTTCATATTTTCCACTTCGCTACTATATAGAGTAATATATAGTTAACAGTTATGGTCGAAAATGGAAAATTAAATACTTTGTATTATATAGTTTTTAATTGATAAATGTTATTTATCTGTTCGGTTCTTTAGATATCATATAATTCTAAACAAAGTTTGAGCGGTGGCCCTCAATCCATATCATAATTTTCTCTTGCGTTATACATTCTTTGTGAGTGTTTAAACGAGTCTGTGGATTTTCGAATTCCAAAGCCATAATAGGACGTACGGGACGACAGAGTATCCTACGCTCAAAACTTGTTGAAATCACAAGACCTTTGTGTGGAATAACTATCACTTGAAGAATGGATTTGAGAGTGTCTGTAGTCTATGATTTGACAGATTTGTATGTATTGGAAGGCTTTGAAAAGTGATTATAAGCAACGCGTAGTAGGTAATTCATTAAATTCGCTATCGCAATTAAAAATCACGGATTTCATGTACAATCACAATTTTGGTTTCCGGCGATAACGTAATACCGATAAATGTTGAATTTAATCTTTTTTATAATTCCAATTGTTTTGAATTGATGCAACCTTTGTCGGGAGGCTTTGAAATTTATAACAGGTTATACTGTAGTTCATTAATAATTAATAGTTATTTTGGACCTTCAAATAAACTTTTATTTTTAAAAGTAAATCCAGAGTTAAGAAACAAATCTTTTAGATTTGCTACGGGAGGAAGCTCACTTGATTTTGCCCAATATCAATAATCGAGTTACCACTTTTACGATTCTGTAAAACCTATATACAAACAGACATTTTTTATCACAGAGGAGGACATACAAGCATAGAGTCCCCTTCATATAACATCTAAACAAGATGCACCGTCGACCTATTTATATTCGGAGATATTTTTCTAAGTCAAAACAACTGGCTCAAATCATTTTATACATGTATACTTATATATTCATATATCAAATTGTTTAGACTTTAGACATGTAATCCAATATCTTATATATCTTTCAGTCGAGACTAAACTAACAGTTAACCGATATGAGGATTGCCTATCTTATCGGATCGATTATATTTTTATCTATTTCAAAATTAAAACAATGGGATTTCACATGTTTATTAATTATAGCATAGTACAGCAAAAACATGGTATGATCTACAAGAACTATGCATGTCAAAATCACATCTAACCTAATAAACCTTTATTTAAATGAATATCCTATGCAGATTTAAGAAAATTAATGTCACGAACGGGATTTGAATCAGCATCTACATAGTTCAGTGCTGCTGCCACTACCAATATATACGCGATGTCAATTGAAAATTCAAACAAACCTTGATTTATTTACTTTAATACTATTCACAAATAATAATAAACTAACAAAATAATTGTTATCTTATTATTATTTAAAATAACTAATTTTAATTAATAAATAGTCTATAATTTTATAAATTTAATTAGTTTATTTTACGATTTTAAGTAAAAACTAAGTTATTTCTTTCTTACGTTCTACGTTTTCATCTTTTAAATGCTCAGTAATCACGGCTGCTGTAAATCATATATTTCGTGTTTTAATCCATAAAAAGGTATTACTTATTTTACATTTAGATTCATGCAACCAATAATGCCCTTACAATAGTTTCTATTGGAGACATTAGTGCTAGACTCGATTAGTAGTGTCCCTTTGGCGTGATTTTTTTATTTTTATCTTCTTTTCTTTCACTAGCTGTTTCAGCGACTTCGTCAGCGTAGGAAAGTTATTTTGGCCATGTAAAATTGTTTTTGTAAGCCTCTTCATGGCGTTAAAAAATAGACATATAGCATTTTTTAGATCATTTAAAGAGGAGTCATTCTTTTGTACATACTTTTTTGGTATCTACAACCGTTTTCGCAGAGTACGCAACGCAAAGTCACAGAGAGGAATAATATTTCCTGCTTTTTCCACATTTTCCGCTCTTTCTTCGTTACTATAAGTTGTCTTGCGATGTTAGTTAGCCTCACTGCCTTCCTCAATATATATGCTCTAACCAACATAAAAGTAATTATTCAATTCAAACAAGTGGTCCCTGAGATTAGCGCGTTCAAAGAAACAAACTCGAGCTTTATATATTAGTATAGTTTGTGAGTTTATTTGTGATCTTTGAAAAGGTGTAATTGTATATATTAAACGTCTTAACATATAATTATTGTGTTCTGCTCGAAGTAGGTTTAAAGGTATTGCACGGGTCCAACGCGTGTCGTGGACACTCGCTTGCAATTAATTAGTTTTATCTATTAGCTCTGGGTATCTACAGATCGGCCTTGGACTAGCACGTCTAGACCAAATTCGATTAAATCGTAGACGAGTAATATATTTCGAGTTTTAAACCGTTCAAAATGTTTTGTTAGTTATATCTAATCAATTTATAATGTTTCTTAAAACATGTAACAAAATCTGGCCACTAAATGGATAAAGTACCGAAAACCACCACCATGTTTAAAACAAAAAAAACGTAAAAAGACACAAATTCGCATTTTTACTGCAGTCTATTTTATCTGCATTAAGGAATTACTCGAGTGTTTTTTGCCTTCTTTCGACCGACCTTGTCAGCTTTATTTTACTATACTGTCTTTTAGAAAGTGTTAACTATTCTTTAATATTTTTCACATGTGTGTGTATTTTTTGCACACGATTGCACTATATAAATTAAAAATTAAAAATCATATAGTATGGTAGATATTGGCGAGGTCCCTCCAAGAATTGTTTCTCCACGTGTAGGGCACTATAAACATTTATTTGGTAAATATGTGTTTCAAATTAATTCGCCATTATGTCATACCACCTTCAAACATTAGATAAAACATTCTCAGATCTTTTTATGCCGTACCCGGATGTCCATATCTTAAACCGGGGCGGCACTGTCCCAATGCTGGGACGGTGACTTATAGTCATTAAAAGCACGTTCGTTATGAGCGGATAGAAAAAGGGGGTTTTTACTTACGAAATTATTTCAAAAAAGAACATCTTCGTGATATGTCTTCTCTATAATGATAGATGTCTGTTGTTGACTTATAAACTATAATTGATTATTATTGCTATGTTTTATCCAAAACTTAAAGTTATTTATATTTAAAAATAGCAAAATCACGGTCTGCATAGGACCCGCAACGGTGGGCCAAAATACTAAAAAAATAAAAAAGTTAACGCGTTCTTATAGAGGAATTTTACCTAAATATTAGAGCTTTTAAATGGAGATGCTAGAGAAGAATCAACGCGGAATTCCACAGACTTAAAACTTCACGGTTTTTCATCTGTGGACAATGTTCACACAAGGTGGGGAACGAACCCAGGACCCGTTGGTTAGCAAAACATTGATACCATTAGCAAACCTGTCAAGTGAATGATTTTATTTATAGGTATGTAGTTAAGACTTCATCGCCGGTCCGACCGAGAGAGTTTTATTATTTCCACAGGATTTGAACCCACGACCTCTTGTGCTTAACGACATTGAACTCTGTTGTTCTCTGTAGTTCTGTGTCCTTTATTCTTATTTTATGCCAAAAATATACTTCTTTACCTATGACGAACGTTTTGTTCAACAATTGATGACAAATCAAACTGAGTTCATTAAATTGATTAGACCGCCTGTGAACGGAAGTCAAAACTTTTTTGAGTTTCGTTTTTGTACTGTGTAATTATAATGTCACTTTTAAACCGTAAAAATCAAATTGATGGAATCTTGAGACGATTGTATACACTACAGTAGGAGGTAGATAAAATAAATGTACATAACATATACAGAGTGTATGTATAATATTATCACTGGATTAAAAATTATAATATTATTAATACTTTACGCAAATCATTTTTTTCTGTTCTTTCTGCCTAGCAATTAATAATTTTCCTTGTCTTTCCACTATTCCATCTGTTTCTTCGTTCCTATTAAAATAAAACATTTAACGGTTTAAAACGAAATATATATTTATTTACTTTTTCTAATTTTAACGTTAATTTCTACGACCCAACGTCGTCAATAAGTTAACTTTAATATTTCGCGTTTTAAACCGTTAAGAGTGTTTTTTTTTAAATCTGTATGTACATATATTCAAAATATAAGAACACATACCTATAGGTGAATTAACTTTAAAAACGTCTTAAGATGTTTTCGTCATACTAATAAACGACCGTTGATCTAAGGTGTGCGAAAAATATGCTAATTATACTAACAAGTTAACAATTAGCAACTGTGATGTGTGCCTACTAAAACAATGTAAAAATAAGTCCTACCCAATGTGTTTGTTGTACATTTCTGTCGGGGCAATGTTGCTATTTGATTCAAACATTGTAAATTAAAACAGTATAAAGGAGTTGTTCGAACTCGTTGGTCCAATAGTAGCAATTTATAAAGATCGGGTCACGGCTTCGATCTCCAACTGGTCTGGGATGTTTTTATTTTTTAACAATTTAGAGTTTGTTTAAAACATTAATTGGGTGGTAGGATTATCGAAATTCTTTCCTGGTTAGGTATGTATCCACGTATGGAAAAGACATTATGTTAAATCGCGTTTCGGGTTCGGTCTTTTAACGTCTTAAGTCAAAATAGGTCAAGAGCGCATCTTGTTTGGTATTTACTCATAATTACACCTCTTATAGAGTGAACCGTGCTTGTCAATTATATATCATAAAAACTGACATATTCCAATAAAATTAATGATTTTTATTGAAAGTGTAATACGCTGATAATTTTTACAGTAATTTGGGAAAAGAAAATGTTAAAACAAAGTTCCTTAGATGAGTGGGGGGGGCTTACAGATTAAAAATTATATAGATTAGGTAATATTCTTATCTATTGTGCAATACGTTGGTAATAATAAATAAATATTTCATAGTAGGCTATGTTGTAATAAATGTGTAGTATTTAATAAGTGTAATTTAGAGGAATTTTGTTAATAATAGTTGTTATTCGATAATTATTTAAATTATAAGTGAATAATTCAAAAAAAGTAATAAGAATAAGCTACTAAGCGGCTTT